AACTACAGATATTTCTACTAATGCAACCACAATGACTACTGTAACTTTATTACAAGTAAAATACTGTACTCGTGTCATAACTTTATACTTTCTGTCTGCTAACTGATAGTGGAAGGAAATCACATGAGCAGGCCAGTTATTCTCGTTTCTTTTCACTGTGTGACAAAATGGCATGCGGCCTTTATCACCACTTTTGTTCGACAGCTTCTCTTTGCAGTCACATCGGTTTCGTTTCCTGACTTACCGTCAGTTGACCGGGTGAAAGGATCAATTGCCCTGCTGAATCAACACTAGTGCTTCCTGTTGGTTTTCAACGCAAAATGTAAAACAACAACAACAACAAAAAAAACACTTGTACAAGGGTAATCCAAAGAAATATTGAATTTGTTGAGTTTCTATGTTTAAAAAAAAGGGTTCACCTTACTATGTGAAGTGCTTTGAGAAAAAATTAAAACATTAATTGAAATTGAATTTAACTGAATTGAATTGAATATGATGGCGGAAAAGTTACCAGCCATTTGGTTATTGCTTCGATCCAGTGATGGAAAAATACTAAAGATTGTTTTTCTGTTTTCCAGGCACCTAATAGTCTGTGAGAATGTGAAGGATTCCTTAGAAAGACAGACTCCTGCCAAAGAAAGTTGCTCTCCTGCCACAGAGAGCTACACTCCTGTGACAGATAAGAGGAAATTTAGTGTTACATTTCTATTCAAGATGAAAGAGAAACATAGGGCTATCCTCCCATGACAAGACAAACTGTCCAGAACCGAGAGAACTTGCCCCTCCATAGGTAACATGATAAGAAGTGTATAAATACTGACAGTCCTTTCACTCTCGGAGCTCATTTCCCATAACCATGTGTGAGATTCTTCGCACTTTTGGATAAAGAAACACTGACTTCAAGATCCTCATTTTGAGAGTTCTTCTTCACCCACATCCTGGTAGAAAACCCATCAACTGAAATTTTAAGTTTACAATTTGAATGAATTTGTAAAAATTCTACTCAGTTCTTTTGCGATACATTGCACAGGATACGCATCGCAATGTTACTTTACACACTTTATGGCAAAGTTTTATTTGATTCAGATATGGGAGGAAATTGATTATACACCACTTTACTGTATAAGAAGCATTTAAAACAGGCATTTTGGTGTGACTATATCTATACTTAACACCCGAAACATATTTTTACTAAATCTGAGTAGTAACACTGATTCATTAAGTTAAACACAGTGATTACTTGTATGATGTAAAAAATTACACACGTTATCTCATACTCCTATTTTTTTTAAACAAAAATAAATAAAGATAATTTTACTCCCTGATGGCGCCGGATGCTTTTATTGTTTTAATACAGTTTCGACTTCCGCTCGTGCTGCACGCGCACTTGACGCAGCGCTGCATTTATGAGCGAAGGCGCAGCGCTGTTGTTGCACATTCAGCTGGCTAGAAGACCAGTGCGACGTTAACCCAACGAGTCAGTCAACGCTTTTTCACCATGCAGAAGGCTGTCGTGTTCGCCTTTGTCGCCTGCTGCGCTCTCTCAGGTAAGACGTTCTCTGTTCACATTTTATTTTTTTAAAGCATTGCAGGTGTTTCGAAGCAGTTCGCAGAAAGCCCGTTACGCTCCAGAATCGATCGATCTACTGTCATAACGAGGCAATTATGCTGCCTCATGTTGTCAATAAAGGGATCCTACGCAGGCTTTATGTTGCTGTACTGCCATGTCATGTATTGCAAATAAGTCAAGCAGGAAGTGGGCTATTATTCGCCGTTTAAATTAAGATGCTTTAATCAGACCTCACTGTGACTTCCTGGATTGTTTAGGGAACAGAAATTTCCGCAGTCTTTCGATAGTGTTTCAGCTCTGAGTCACATGTCTGCTGCCAGATGAGATCTCTCTCGCTCTTTTTTTTTTTTTTTTTTAAAGGACAGGATGAATCCGCAACTTAGACTGAAACCCAGAATCCAGTGCTGAAAAACAGCAGTGACATCTCCTTCCCTTTCTTGGGATGTACAGTTAAATAATTAGGTTTACTTAAGCCTAAATAATGACTTGTTTAACAACCAGAAGTCATGGCTTGTATTTATTCTTTAATGCTTTCTGAAAATCCCCATCCGTCTGCCGCACTATCAGTAACATGACAGTGGTAACCCAACCAACCATCTCTACATAAAGGCCAGACACTGTTTGAACAACCACTGCATGAACCTGCAGATAAGCTGTGTCCTGAAAACACATCACAAAATGTCATAAAGCTCACGTTACCTTTGATAAATGTGCCATTATCAGTTGACCTCAATGTGAAAATCGGTCACGCAATTAAACTCGTCGGTCTGATCATTTTTTTGTTTAAAGGATTCAGTTGTAAGCAGTTTTAGGCGAAAAAACATTAACGCTGCAATAAACGTTTTTATGTATATCACCAGTGGATTAAATGGTCTAACGTAAAGGCTCAAGCATTTTAACCCCACAGATAATTATCATCTAACTCTGCCATATGGTGTTTGTTTTTGTTTTTTTAGCCAATTTTGCCTCAATGTTGCCGCAACTGACTGTATATAAAAGACAGACGAAGCATCTAGGTATGAAAAGTGAAGCCAAAGCTTTAAAACTTTCTAACAGCCAGTAGGGGGCGACTCGTCTAATCAGAAATAATAGTCTGATAGTATAGAAATCTGAGGAAGTTCGAAGATAATTTGTCACCTTAGTAAACATCGCCCAAATAAGTTTATGGTCTCTATCTCTAGTTTCAAGTCTTGACAGTGTTGACAGGAAGTGTTCTCAAGTCAGATCTATTACTTGCTTGTTATGTTTTATTATAAAAGACCAACGTGTTGACGGTTACATTCCAAACTCAAGTCTTCAAAACTAGTCCACAAACAAGTCACAGTTGCTATGTCCGTCTTTTGTATACAGCCGTTGTTTACGGTCCAACAAATTCAGCTATGACAAGCTACGTTTCCAGCAGTAGCAGGCAGTTTGTAACGGTAAAGGTTTGATTAAAAAAGCTAAAAGAAATAAATTATCGAGGTAGCAAAAGCACAAATGAATAATAATGTTGCTGTGTTTCCAGGAAGTTGCTTGCAAAGTCGTTAGCCATAACAGCTTAGTCAGTAATATATCTAATGTTGTATTTTCAACTACCCCAATGTGTCCAAAATTTTGCTGTTGCAGCTGTAAGAAAATTTTAGTTAGGAAGCAAAATTTGGATACTGAAATGGATTTCTTTGTCTTTTTGACTGAAGCGCTGTCATTGGCCGAAGACGCATTGGAGGTCCATCTTCCCGCAACTGTGTCCCCTGCAGAAGAGTTTAGCCCAGAGACCACCATGGCAAAAACCACG